AAAATTTTCTAGCATTGTATAAATTCATTTTTTTAATCTAAAATTTTCTAACATTGTATAAATTCATGTTTTTAATCTACAATTTTTTAGCATTGTATAAATTCATTTTTTATCTAAAATTTTCTAGTATTGTAATAATAATAAGTGGGAAGTTTATGGGCCAACAAACAGCTGAGGTCATCGCCGGCCCTCTATGTGTTTTCCATCTTTTTCTTTTCTTTCGCGCATATTTTGTTTTAAACTGCAGCCATTTGAGCATCTCGATCTGGTTACTGACTCTCTGATTTCAGATATATACTACGTTGATATTCTAGAATGCTAGTCTCTCGTTTGTACCTCAGGTTGTCAAATACAGAATAAAAACAAAACATACAATACATATATATACATCANACGTTGGGTGGCGCTGCTCTCTCCACCAACACCAACGGGGCCCGAGGGAATAACGCCGGGGGTGGCCTGTGCCCCCGACGTCACCGGCATTTCGCCTTCCGGATCTACGGCGTTTGATTTTAGGGTTTTCGGAGCTACGTAATTCAGGTCGGAAGGCAGCTACCCTTCCGACCCTAGCCGATTAGTGGGGCTGCCACTAAAGGTGAACCGGCACACCTCCTCCTCCCTAAAACCCTGGGACGCCTGGGATAGGAGAGGGAAAAGGTTAGTGTGGGGGAAGGGTTGTTATGGAGTGAAAGGTAGGGTATGGGTTTAAGTAGGGGATAGAGAGTTAAGGATGGCCACCAGGTACGGGAGGAGTACATGGACGCAGTTTAACCTCTTGCCCGGGAGGTAGTATTGTATAAATTCATTTTTTTAATCTAAAATTTTATAGCATTGTATAAATTTTATTTCACATCCTACATGTACTTGTAAAATTTAAACAATGTTTATAAATCCCAGGCCCTGAAGATGATCTCAATAAAGATCGAAACGTTGGCAAGATAAAGAAAATGTTTTTCTAAAACGTACGCCACACCAGACCGCATCTCATGACCTCCAAATGTCAAATCAAGTAACGGTCACTAAACGCCACATAAACAAATAAACTTTAAAAAATAAACATCAGTAGAGATTTTTACTAAAAATAAGCCTAATGACATAAGATGCATTGGTACAAGTGTGACTGTCAAGTTGTAAATCTAAGCTAAAAAAAACAAGGTCACTCCTTACAATACCCATCACCAATGTCACAAGAGAAAAGAAAGTTATATAAGTCTGAGCACATTGTAAAATTAGGTAAAAATATGAAATCCTATGTAGGCAAGATTATGATGATTATAACGCCATCATCAAAGCTGTGGTAACTACTCTGTAATTAATTAATTAGTATCTCGGGAAAAAATATGACGTCGAGTGAGTCGGACTGGTCCAAGTAGGTTCCCAATTGATGCGCGATTGCGGCCAAAATTCAGCAATAAAACGGATTAAATGCTCAACCTGTGATAAATAGGACCATTTCAGTAGCGCAGGAAAAATCGTGGGTAGATCGAGGATGTAAATGAGTAAATACAAAACGACTCATTCTTGATCTTGAAAGAATCCTCCAATGAAAATGTCTTAGAAGAGAAATTGTACAAAGTCAACTATTAAATATTATCAACGAAACCCGCGACAGTCGCCGAATGCTGGTGGTTTTGGCACTTATCACACAACCTGAGCGTTGAGAATAAAGAAGTTCAAAAACTCAACGAAGAAGTAAAAACACTCGAAGTAAATGATTGATGATGGTGATTAGAGAACGTTAGTCGATGATTATGCGGAAATCGTGATATGCGGTCTGGTACCAACGTTTCGATCTTTACTGAGATCATCTTCAGGGCTCAAAGTGGTTGTTTTCTGCGTAATTGTGCCATTCTTGCGTGTCGTGTTGAGAGTGCCGATGTTTGGCACGACAAAGAAAATGTTTTTCTGAAAACTACATCACACCAGACCGCATCTCACGATTTCCGAGTAATACTCGAAGTAAAAATGCTTTGAGAAAATTTTAGGTGAAAATAAAAATTGCAAGACAACCGCTGAGTTTTCAGTTGAAGAAAAACAAAACTTCGACTTCTAACATCGTCGGGAAAGTAAGAATGATATAGTAGAAATGTCAACGTTTACCAATACAAACAAAAACAAAATCAGTAAAAGTTTGACCGAATTAAATAAGCACTACATTGGATAACGCTCTCTCACTCTCTCTCACACTCTCTCTCTCTTCTCTCACTCTCTCTCTCTGTCGCTTTCTCCCACTCCCTCTCCATCACCCACTTCTACTCTTATATCTTTTCCTCTTTTCTTTCTCCTTCCTCCTCTCCATCTCTCTCTCTTTTTCTCTCTCGATCTCTCTCTTTCTCGCCCTCTCTCTCTTTCTCTCTCTCTTCTCTCACTCTCTCTCTCTCTCTGTCGCTCTCTCCCACTCCCTCTCCCTCTCCCTCACCCACTCCCTCTCTTATATCTCTCCCTCTTTTCTCTCTCCTTCTCCCTCTCCATCACACTCTCTCTTTTTCTCTCTCGTTCTCTCTCTCTCTTTCTCTCTCTCTCTCTCTCTCTGTCTCTCTCTGTCTCTCCCTCTCTCTGCCGGTCTCTCCCACTCTCTCTCTCTCCCCTCTCCCTCTCTCTCTCGCTCACCCTCTCTCTTCTCTCTCTACGCACAGAAACAGACGGTGAGGAAACATTGAAAAGAACAAGGAACACTCTTCTCCTGTTGATAAAGCTATGGAATGGGGAGAAGTCGTTAGAAAGCTTAGGAAACAGAAAAGCTTCGTAATCGCGTTGACGACAACCCGGACAATGAATAATTTCAAGCAGGAATTTAATGTAAATTGATATTCCTAAGCAAAAGTAGGAAAGGAAGTAAGAAAACAGACCTAGTAAACTACATCATTGAACAGATCCCAGACGTTGCTAATGATATATGTTCTTTTAGCATAGCAAATGACTAATGGGTGTTAATAAAAAAAAGTACACCGAAAAAATAATGAATACACTTCTGGCAGAATATACAAATTAAGCTATTGTATTTTCAATGTAAGGTTTTGATTGAGAAGAAAAAACAAGTATCACGAGCAGGATTCGAACCCACGATCTCGCCTCAATACGCCCCTGCTTCAACCAATTGCTACATATTTAAAAAAACCTTCATAGTGAATAAAATTACACTATGGGAAAACATTTGTTATATTATTTATATAAACAGAAAATAAGTGTGCTGACAGTGTGGATCCTTGAAGGACTCCGTGTTTTAAAGTTTCCCAGTTTTTTACTAATTTACTGCCATTAGTTTTTATTTGTTGATATATATTATTCAGATAAGAATCGAAGCAATTTACTACTTTGTCTAAAAAATTAATATATTTTAAAATAATATTTCATGACTTACACTATTAAAAGCAAGACGAAAATCTACCAAAGAAAGATGTAAAGAGAAAAATAAAAAAAGAGAAAGAGAGAGAGGGAGAGAGAGAGAGAACTAAAGAAAGAAAGAACAAGATAAAAGGGAGAAGGAATAAGAAAGAGAAAAAAGAGAGGAGCTCGCAGATTCTTATAATTAACTAGTTTGGTTTGACAAAAATAAACAAATACAAAATAAACAAGCAAAATTAGTATGGAACATACATAGTTTTAACTTTAATCATGTTTACTAAATTTAACATGTAATATGTAATATACAATATATCTGACCTAACTTAATTGTACGGTAAACATGATTTCAATTTACAATAACTACAATTTAAAAAAACATTGTGTATAAATATGAATTAATGTTTTTAGTTGAGATAAAAAGTCAGTGTCACAAGCGGGATTCGAACTCACGGCCTTCGGCTAGATACGCCGCTGCTCTACCACTTGAGCTATCGTGACTTCGATCCACTCGGACTCCAACTTCCCATCTCAACAGAACCTTTCGAATTTTCCCTCCTTGTTGCCATTTTTCAAATGTCGTGTAATCTATTTGCTTCTCGGCGACAAATGAAATGGCCACGGAGAGAATTAGTGAAGGTATACTTCATTTTAACTTATTAAATTCACTAGTTTTCGTGGTCCGCTTGACCAATTAATATCTATCAATTAATTAAGGTGTTTAGTTGAGATAAAAAATATAAAATATAAAAATATAAAAAAATATAAAAAATAAAAAACTAATTGAAAGATATTATTTGGTCAAGCGGACCACGAAAACTAGTGAATTGTGTATAAACATAAAATATTGAAGTAGACACATAAAATGAAAAAATTTATAAAGAGAAAACTATATAATAACCATTTAACAAGTTGAACGTATTTATCAAGCAGTATATATATATNAGAGAGAGAGAGAGAGAGAGAGAGAGAGAGAGAGATAAAAGTATACAAAATCCAAGTTCTACATTATATATTTTTAATGGGATTTTTCTAGTTCAAATTGGAAGTACTGACGAAGGTTAAATGAAAACAATTATCTTGGATATTCAGTTTGGAACGCACATTAATCCTGCGTGGATGAAAATAATGAAGAAACAAATTTTAATTTAAAACTGCAAAATATTTAGTAGGTCTTTATGTGTCTCTGTTTTGACAAATTATGTCATTGTCGGAATAAACATACTTTATATACTTTATACTACCATAAATACTATAGGATTATGTAGTTTATAATATTTATTTAGTTTAAATAGGAATAATTTGAAGGGTACAAAGTATGATTTTTGTTGAAAATATCATTGATTTTTAGAATAATGTTGTCTATTTTCTCTATATCCTAATAAAATGGATATGTGTTAGTGTTTGTAAGTTTTTCAAGCAAATTTTGTTTTCTCCTGTTAAACGTAAAACATGGGATTAAAGTGGCAATTTCTCCTAAACAAGCAAAAGGTGTCAACTACTGTTCGGCCGGTCAATTTTGCCGGAGGAAGTTGTACGATGACTGGTTTGGGAATTTGCAATTTAAACTACAATACAGTTGTTGGCGAAGATGACGGTGGGAGGCCGGTGAGGGAAGAAGGGGAACGAGGTGAATAGTGTGCTTCTGTTGTAGTCGTCCGCCGATCAGCTAACCGTCAAGACCTGGAAGCCAGCCGGGATGTACAAACGTTGAAGACGCCGGCGTCCCGCACATGCCGCTTCCATAAAAACAATAACCGTTCCACACTTGTACATAACGTAGTCTTTTGTCATATTCGGATCGATTTAAAAAGATGGTCGAGAAAAAGGCGAACATCAGCGACTTGGGCTTCCTCGAGAAGGTCAAGTACGTTTACGCGAACATGTCCGTTGAACCGATGGTCGCTTGGTACATAATCGGCAGCGTAGTCGCTTCCCTCGCAACGCAGAATCTCAATTTAGAAAAAGCGTGCAGGGTCAATTTGAAATTCGAAGACGACGTCTGTAGAGCGTTGGAAAGGAGGGAAACGGGCAACTACACGAAAGAAGAAGCTGCAGTGCAGCAGCTCGTCGCTTCCATGGCCATTTGGAAAACGCTCGTCCAGAGCGCCATCCCCGCGGTTCTTATCTTGTTTTTCGGCTCTTGGTCGGACAGAAGGGGAAGAAGAAAGCCGTGTATGTTACTCCCCATCACCGGGGAATTTCTCACAGCGATCGGGCTCATAGCCTGTACCTATTTCTTCTACGAGCTGCCCATGGAAGTGGCCGGTATCAACGAGGCCCTTTTCCCAGCCCTGACTGGCGGTTGGATGACCATGTTCATGGCGATATTCTCCTACGTCGGAGACATCACATCCCTTGAAACGAGGACCCTTAGGATAGGAATCGTCAACGTCTGCGCTTCCATAAGCGTGCCGATCGGAACTGCCGTTTCAGGCATTCTTTACAAACAAATCGGCTACTACGGCGTCTTCTCTCTCTCCGCGGCTATCTACATCCTCAGCTTCGGCTACGGTTACTACCAAATAAGAGAAGACCCTAAAAAGCCTGAAGACGCCAAATCGGAAAAAAGCAGACTAGAAGAGCCAGCGGTAAAGCCGGGCTTCTTCAACTTCTTAAAGGACTTCTTCGATCTCCACCACATCAAAGAAACGATCGTCGTCGCTTTCAAAGAAGGGGACAACAACAGGAAGAAAAGAGTGATGCTTCTCATGATCGTCGTCATGGTCGTCATGGGACCATTACACGGTAAATATTACAAAAAATGTTCATATCAAATTACTTATATTTTACCCGCAAGGACTAACCTTTCAGTCCGTAATTATGAGAATTGAGACCCCTCGTCCTTCCCAGGCTACTTGCATCCTTCAACTTTCAGAATTGATTCGCTCAATTTTGTTTTAAATCGCAGATCAACCTTAATCTGACGCAAGGAAAATCGATGTAACTAATCGTAAATAAATTGTCAGAATGAGCCTGATGAAAAGAAATAAAACTATTCAAAGCGATAATTTAAACACTTTCTATTTTTCACAAAATTCATGCCTGCAGAATCGTGTCACTTTGGCCTTGTGTCAGAAAAAGATTCAAATAACCCACTCCAAATCCATTTAATACAATTTATTTTTCTACAATGTTAAATAATATTTAAATAATTCATATTTCGCAACTAACGAACTTCCTTTCTCATTTAATTTCCCCATCGTGGTGATTACATTTAAATACACTAATTGAAAAAAGTTTTTTATTTAATTTATTTTTGCTGAAGTGTAATACAAGGAAAATGCTAATGTTTCAATGTATCACGCAAAAGTCGATAGAGCAATGAACAAATTAGTTCAAATTAAAAAGAAATTTATTATTTCCCTTCTGTGTAATTTGTTAATTTAAATTTTTTTGCAACATTCGTTGATAAATTATTTGTCCAGATGCGGTGGGATAAAGCAACGCTCGAGTGACTTTTTTTCCGCCTTTGGATTTGTTATCCTTGATTTTATCATTTTGGTGTATAATTCTAAAAGTGTAATTTTAAAAATCGACAGTTTGAACAATTTTCTAACTGTTTCCTTAGAATATGACTGGTACTAGCTGGGTCAAAGAAAATATTGAAAAAAAAGACCCCCAGGGCCGAATTCCCCAAATTTTTGGATATAATACTGGATCAATTTCCCTAATTGTTTTCATCATGATTTTTTTTTTTTTGCACAGAGGCTTATAAATTTTAAAACAAGAAACAAATAATATTATTTCGGTAATTATAGCAAGAATGATTTTTAGTAACGATTAATGGCTGTGGTCAAGGTTGTCCCAAGTCGGGACGGGCAACAGCTCCAGCAGAGTCGATCAACGGTGATTTTCGTTCGATCCGAAATAGTGGTCATGATGCAACAAGGGTGTCTTCCTTTCATGACGGGATAAAAGAGAAAGTCACGAGGGCATCTCTAGGACGTCGTCGAGAATGTCTATTGGCCGAGGTGTACCAAATTGGAGAAGACCGATTTTTAAAAATTTTCAACCATTGGCGATTTATTTTGAACCTTCTGTCTTTCAAAAACTTTCGAGAAGAAAATAACAAGAAAAAAAATTATTTTCAAAAATTTGCATTTAATAACGGTCATTGTCAGTATTTTCACTTTCTGTCCTTATTCAGGATATGTCCAAAAGAATTAGCAAAACTTATTTACCTACTGACTTACTTGGTCAATTTCGACATAAATATTAACACATAAAATTAATAGGCAGCATAAAAAAATAAACAAACCCTGGGCGTAACCGCCAACCCTTTTCTCCAAGTGATTCGTGAATTTCTCAACCCCCCTCTCACTCAGTCTTGTAAAAAATCGTCCATACACACCCCTGTTATATCCAGTGATTACAGTACAGACAAGTCTATTTACTAGTTATTACACATGAAATTTCCTAGTGGAGCGTTATATTAAAAATAAATAAACCGGCGCTTGAGCCTGAAATTAGGGCGGTTTTATGGGCCCGACAAGCAGTTTTTAAACAGGTTTCCTGTAAGGATAATCTTCGGAGAATTTCAGTCATGCGGGTCGAGTAGCTGATTTTTTCCCTCTCGTTCATGTATCCGCCGAAATTTGTCAAGTCGTTGAACAGGGTGGCATGCCCGTCGTGTCAAACTCAGTCGTCGGTTTTTCGATATGGTGACTGGACGGGTTATACATTATTCAATGTCAGCCCAACCTCATCCATTTCCTTTTTAAAAAAATCTCTTATTAAAGGTCTATAAATATGTCATAATGTAATATTTATGAGGATTTTGATCCGCTTCGAACGTCCAAATCGCCTCTTTTCTCAATTTGTCTATATGTCAGGCTTTCAGTGATTGTCTGCATGTTGTCTCTCGCAAAACTGTTTTATTTAAGCAGCCTGGTTTATTTTTTAAGAAAGTCATTTACAAACAAATCACCACTGTTTATCTTTTGTGCAAGTATCGTGAAATTCAAAACATTCGTCTAATCTATGTAAATAGCGAGACCAGATTAATCAAAAATGATCAAACAATTAAACTAAGGCCTAATTGCCGTCAGTACGATTTTTGAAAATTGTAAACATTCATAATCGAGAGTGCTTACTTCCTCGATTTACCTGTACGTCCAGCCTTCAGTGGATGTCTGCATGTTGTCTCTCGAAAAGTCCCATTTTATCAAGCTTTATAATCGTTGAACAGGGTAGCATACCCGTCATGTCAAACTCAGTCGTCGGTTTTTACCACGCTAGTCCTAAATAAATTAAAGTATATGAGCTTTCAGCTTTTGTTTTAAACAGGTAGTTATCATGGAGCATCCTAAACGCCTATTTCTCATGGTAAGGGATGATATTGTCTGTATGGTATCTCTCGAAAACGTCCCATTTTATCAAGCTTTCTATGTACAAGGTAGTGCTTAATAAACTAAACTTTTTGAGCAGTCATCTTATGTTTTAAAATGTTAATTATCCTTGGATCTCCTGAACGCCAATTTATTTTGACTGACGTGTATGTCTGCATGTTGTCTCTCACAAACGTCTCATTTTACCTGGTTTTCTATCGTCAAGCTAACCCTAAAGTTTATTGGATGACATCGTGTTTTAAAATGTTAATTATTCTTGGATCATCGTGAGCGCTGATTTCTTTAAGATTCACTTCATTGGATGTCTGCCTGCTGTCTCTATCGCAAAAAGTCCCACATTATTTAAACAAACTTGTAACAAACAAACCACTACAGTTTATCTGTTGTGGAAGTATTTTTTGAAAATTTTAAACATTCACATTCGACCAGATTCATTTCTTTAATTTAGCTAGACGTCTTAACTTCAATGGATGTCTGCATGTTGTCTCTCCGTTTGAATATAGACAAGCTAGTGCAAGATAAAGTAAATTTATAGGATGAGATCGTGTTTTTAAAATGTTAATTATCCATGGATCATCCTGAGCGCTTATTTCTTCAAGGCTCACATCAATGACTGTCTGCATGTGTTTTCTCGCGATCGCCGCATTTACAAGCTTCCCATTTTATCAAGCTTTAAATATGCAAGCTAGTTTTAAATAAACTAAAGTTTATGAACTATCAGCGTATTTTTGGAAATGTTAGTTCTCCTTGATCATCCTAAAAGACTATTCCTTTTGGCTTAATTCAGTGAATGTCTGCATGTTGTCTCTCTCGCAAAAGTCCCGCATTATTGAAGCAAACTAGTTTGTTATTAAGAAGGCCATTAAAAAAACAAACCACTACAGTTTATCTTTTGCGTAAGCGTCAGTATTTTACAGAAATTTTAATAATCCACATTCGTCCAGATTCATTTCTTTAATTTAGCTGGACGTCCAAACTTCAATGGATGTCTGCATGTTGTCTCTCACGGACGCCCCATTTTCTCAGGCTGAATATAGACAAGCTAGTGCTAGATAAACTAAAGTTTATAGGATGGCATTGTGTTTTTAAAATATTAATTATCCTTGGATCATCCTGAGCTCTTATTTCTTCAAGAGTCACATCAATGAATGTCTGCATGTTTTTTCTCGCGGTCGTCGCATTTACAAGCTTCCCATTTTATCAAGCTTTAAATATGCAAGCTAGTTTAAAAAAATTTAAGTTTATGAACTATACGCGTATTTTTGGAAATGTTAGTTCTCCTTGATCATCCTAATCGTCTATTCCTTTTGCCTTAGTTCAATGTATGTCTGCATGTTGTCTTTAAACTAGTCTTAAATAAATTGAAGTTCATGTAATGTCGGCGTATTTTTGGACATGGTACTTATCCTTGATCATCCTAATCGTCTATTTCTTTTGTCTTAGATCAGTCGATGTCTGCTTGTTGTCTCTCGCGAACTTCCCATTCGCAAGCTTTCCAATTTGTCAGGCTTCACTAATGTGATCGTCCTAAACGCCTTTCCGTCTGGCTCAGTACAGTGTAGGTCTGCATGTTGTCTCTCGACAGCGCCTGTACAGTCAATTTTTTTTTTTCGTTATGAACTATGCATATTAGCGCCATGTGACAATTCGTATATGTGTGTTCAAATTTGGGGGGTTATTGTGAAAAAAGGGCCAGAGGCGACGGTGGGAATCGAACCCACGACCGCGGCGTGAGAGTCTCTCATGCTAACCACTCGGCTACCGCGGTCCCCAGCCAATTTTTTGTTCTTTGAATAAAAACAATTCGCAGGCAATAGAAAATAAACGTAGGCTACGAACTAAAGTATGTTCAGAAAAGCGAAACTACACGGACCAGGACGAGTCCAACTATTTTCTTGGCTTTCTGTGAGGTTTCGGAAAATGTTGGTCGACTGTGATTGACCTGATATCCCATTTTTTACCCATTTACCATGAGATATACGCTAAATTTTTCTCTTAATCCGAAACAGAAAAATCGAATATAGATTATATTACATATTTTAAGTATTAATTTAATATAACTTGTCATAAGAAAAACTTTTTAAAAAAATTATGGGAGAATTAATATTTGAAATCTGATATCCTTTCCGCACTTATATAACCGTATCATTTTTTCCTCTCGTTACAAGCAAATCTAAGATCTTTTTTCTTTTCTTCCAAGGTCTCAGAGGGTTTTCCTAGTCTGGCTGGATTTATTCAAATCGCCCTTTAAATTTAGTCAGCATTGGTGGTCAGTTACTGAACCTTTTTGGGGTGTCCTGGTACCCACTTGGTATTGCTGTCTAAACTTATCTTTGTGCTATTTAAACATTAACTATAGAGTTTTAATAATCCTTAAAATCAAAGTTTTAGAGATGT